TCTTTATTTTTATTCTTGCATTCTATGCCTAAATCAAAACTGTGATTCAAGGTAAAGGATGGAAAATAACAGACTATAATATTTTATGAAAATTGCGTATAATATGATCATCTGATTTTTAGATGAGAACATAGTGTCTCAGAGGTTTCGTATCATTAGATTTGATTATATGAATGTGGAAAACAATCCTTTTTCGTTTTGTTAGAAGAACAGACACTTTTTCTTAAGAAATAATATCGTATTTCATTTTCTTTTCATAAAAAAACTATCTCTAGAATATCAGAATTTTATTATTTTCCACAAATGCGTCAACTATGTTCAATTGACAAATGCTTGCGAAAATCACGTTGGCAGTGTGATTGTTGTCAACAACATCTTTGTTTACAACATTTAAATGAACATAATGCTTCACTTATTTCTGAACTGAACCCTTTAACTGATGAAATTAATGCACTTGGAGATCTTCTCGAAAAACTAAATATTCACCAAACAATTGCAGATAGTCGTCAAAAACTTGAACAATGGCGTCAAGATTGTTATAAGAAGATTGATTGTTTATTTGAACAAAAATGTCAAGAACTTCATCAATTTTTTAATGAAACAGTTGGAAAACAACGAGAAGAACTCAATCGAATAAATTCGAAAATAACTGGACTCATCAATGCACAAGAAACAACTCGTCAAGATATTGATTTATTAAGGTCAACTATTCATCAGCTTGAAACAAATATAAACAACATCGAACGAACACGTTTTATCATCAGTACTCGTCCACTAGTACCAGAAGATACATTCGTTTCTATTACGAAAACAATTGAAAAAGAGCTTGATCTATCAACTCTTTCATCTGCGTACGCAACGGTTCATCATCCTAAGGGAAGTTGTGGACCACTAAGTTGTAATGATCGATATTTATTGGTACACCAACATCCAAATTTATGTTTATTTGATCAAGAAATGGACATAGCCAAAGAAACGCTATGGTCTTATGGTAGAATTTGGGACATGTGTTGGTCATCAACATTAGATCGATTTATTGTACTTGGAAAAAATGATATCTTTCTCATTAATGAGAATACCATGTCAATTGATAATGCATACACAATTACAGAACGAGATTTGATATCATGTACATGTTCTGATACAATTCTCTTTGTATGTACAAATCAAGGGGCTTCATCCATTCTTGAACTCACATTATTTCCATCAATTGAATTGATTAGAGAATGGAAATCTCCTCTTACATGTACCAAAGATGAATTTATCGATGATATTGTTTACAATAATAGAAATCTTGCTCTGGTGGTTAAAAATAAAGCTGAGAAAACGCTACGCATTGAACTAAGATATGCAAAAACACTGGACCGTATCTGGACACTTCAACTTGATATGATGTGTGTCCACAAAGTAGCATTTCGTTGTTGTTCACTCACTGGTAATGAATGGCTCATTGTCGACCATGAGACTGGACGTCTACTTCACATTACAAAAGATGGAAAAATAAAAAAAATAATTGAATATTATCCGATTCCTCATCGTGCTCTTCTGTTTGACTGGAATCAGCTGGCTATATCAACTGGAAAGCATGTAAAGTTGCATACAATTCAATTAAATGAATGACTGCGTTCATTAGTGTTTTGCTTTACTTTTTCGATGAAAAACTAAAATTAAAATTAATTAACTAGATTGATAAGATCATGGAGATTAGTAAAGTTATAATAGTTTTTTAATCGTTTATATGCAAACAAAGTATTAAAATTTGTTGAACAATAAAAAAAAAATATAAAGACTTATATTTACCTGAGTATTTGAAATATTAATCATAGATCATGAATATAAGAAAAAAATAACATGTGTAACAGTCACAAAACTTTTAATAATAACAAGAGCTTATGGAAAGAGGACTCTTCAGATAAAACATAAAATTTAGTCAAATTATTCTGAAAAATTTTTCAAGAGTATATCGAAATATATTTTCAATCATAGCAAAGTGTTTATAGAAAATTAAATGATTGAATGTCAACTTGACATGTTTTACTCATTGGAAAAGGATCTATTGTCCTATATATAAATAAAAATGTCCAGCACTGCAGTAGATATTAGTTACGGAAAAAATTAACAATAGAACGATCACAAAATTTCTAGGTAAAAAAAAAAAACTTCTTTTAACTGCTTCACAAAAATTATCAAGCTTTTGGACAAGACACAAAAAACAACAAATACAAAATATATGTTGCGATATAATAATTTATATTTTATTTACCTATGCCCAAATAAAAAAAACTTCCAAGATTGTGTGTTTATACATTAAATGAATTTTTTCCTGGCTTGAATTTGATTCAAACAGAGCAAATATTCATGACGACCAAAAACGATATTAGTCCATATCAATTGTTTTAAAGATCTTGATAAATATATTTGCTAATTTTTCAAACACATAAATATATTTGAACAGAAACGAAAGGAATTAGTTAGATTCATAATTGGACACTCATTCTAAATATATCTTTAGAATTTCTCTCTGCTTTACGACTAGTTAGCTACAAGAAAATACTTGAATCAATTTAAAAATGCTATTGACAGCACAGGTAACACGGTTTTACCCTTCCATGCGTAATTTCTCTAACAGATATTTTTCATTAACTAGAATTTTTCGAAATATTACACTTTACATGAGATGATCTTTTTTAGAAACAATTCGTTTTGACGAATCTTGTTATTTAAATTCCAACAGATTCTTATAAGAAAACAGATTGTATAAAATATTTTGTGCAAACATCGTTTTTATTCGTCATTGAATATTTGCTGTTAATGAATAAATTTCAAGTCACAAAAAAAAGAAATTCTGAATATATGTGTAAAAAGAGCATGAAACTCGAACAGCAATGTTCTACGAAGACTTTTTGCATAGGGGTTAGAATATTGATTGATATCAAATCAAATAGACATATCTTTTTTTTTTAAATATAAAATTATTATTATCAATTTTAAAACCATAATCTAAAAAGAGATGTACAATTTATTTTAATTTACAAATAACAATGAATTAGTAATGTTTGTACTTTTAGAAAGTTCAGAAATCAAATTATCTCGCATTTTTTGTTCATATTTCGTCTATTGCGATTTTGCAAGTGTATTGTTTTACTTCGTTGCCATAAGAAAAATAAACCCTAATCAATCTTGATATATAAATACTGCATTATGTTAGAAGTATTTAATTATATATGAAATATACTTTCAAATGTTTAGTCAAGGCAATCGCTCGGTCTAATGATTTACATAAACAACATCATATAAACAAAAAACGATTAAGGGCAATTGTAAATACTCATGTCATTTTTTCTATAGCAAAAAAAGAATAAAAAAAAACCAATCACCCATTCACCAAATTATTGTTAATAAAAGATGACGTGTTCATTCATGCTTTTATTTTGTTGTTGTTTTTTCATTCTTATGTACATTTTAACGTGCATCAAATAGATTCTCATGGTGATAAGGTATATTTATTCATTATATGACCGTTATTTTATTATTTTTTTCTAGTTTAAAATTCTATTAAATCTTATCATAATATAAACGATATTACATAACAATCAAGTAATTGATTATCTTTATTATAACTCTTCTGAGAAAATATCTACTCTTCAACATTTAGCTTTTTCATATTTAATAGAAATATTACTGATTATTGTAGAATAATCCCAAAAGAGTATACATATTAAAGCTATTCATATATGTCTAGCGAAATTACAACACTTGTTGAAGTTAAAACTTTGACAAAAAGTTTCTTGAAATCACTTTATTTCAAGTAAATATCAATAAATTGATGATATTAACAACAATATGTATATACTTATATAGTTAATTGTTCGTTTTGCGTATTTCTATTGCGTATTTCTATTATATGAAAACTACGCGTACAATACAGATATTCGATTTCGATGAAATTTTTAGTATTTGTAGAGTTTTTAAGTCTAATCTTTTTGATAAAGAAAAAGAACTTTTTGAGAAATTATTACTTTGACAGAGATATTCCCAAAATACTTTTAGTAGTAATTGAGTTAGAGAAAAAGTAAATCTCGAATATGGTATCAGTCATCATTGTGATAGACACTCATTAGCCCTACAACTGTCATATTATAGAATTTACAGCATTGTTAGTATAGCTAAAATATTAAGTCTACTTTGTTAAGTAACATTTTCATCTATATCCTTAAGAGATTTGACTATATAGTCGTCGAAAAAAAACATATGTAGTATTTGATCCGGTATTCCTAAGTAAAGAGTCTAATCGAACTGCAGTCAAATCTAAAATAATAGATCATTTACTTTTACCTGTAAACAATACAAACTGAAACAAATAGAATCGCTCCATTTTTAGACGTTTTTTAATTTTCCTAACTTGGTGTCTTAAGTATTATGATATTATTTCTGAAATGGCTAGTTGGTTCTCTCTTGAGAATATCTTATTAGATAGAAAACAGTATAGACTACAAATTATTTCTACTTTGATGATCGATATAAAAAGTAGACAAAATGCTCTAGCTGAAAATCTGTCGAAAATATGAGTCCTTCTCTTTCATGATGCAAGTAATACTATAGTTCTTTTCTTTCACACATGCAGTTTTCGCTCGAATGCATCCTTTGATATTGAGTTATTCAGTGTAACTGACTTGAGGATCACATTAGTCTTGATGACAATGCATTCTATCCTTTTTATTGATCATAAATCTATCTTATAGAAGTCAGGTTGTCTGTTTCAAAAAAGAAAAAGTGGCTGAACAATCTCATTCTTTTTGTCCACCTATATCGAGGTCAAGAATGTATTTTATTGTTGTAAAAGGTATCGAGTTTGAAGTTTTTTCTCTTTGATAGGGCTTTGTGAAAGTAATAATACAGTGTGCTTTCTAAAGTTCAAAAACACACATCACTTGATGTATGCATAGGCACATTGTTCCCAGTCCACGGCATTGTACCTTTTTTGACAATTCTTTAGTTACTTATAGTGAGAAAGCTGCAGTCTAACTCAGAACTAATGCCATATTTAGAGAGAACACTTAAAGTTTTCTCCTTTCTTATTCTATAGATGTTTTCAAGACTAGTTTTCGTCAAAAAACTCAGTACTAGTCCTCTTCCTACGGTTGTAAAGGGTTTGATGTCTTTAGAACAGTATTTTTATCATTTGGCTATCTATCGTTCGGTTCCGATAGTTTTTGAGTTAGAAAATCTTTTCTACTTTTTGCATTGGACATTAAAATAGAATTAAGTAGTGCTCTACATTGATTTTCTCGTAATGAGATATCTCGGAATCCATATCATCCAGACATTATGAAGATAATGTCAAAATATACCACACACCAATTTTTTATGTTTATTTGTGTAAAAATCATATCAATCTTATTAAAATGAAGACTGAACTATAAGTATATATTTCGTTATTATTATCATCACTTAATTGATATTACATTGGTAATTATTTGATTTGACGTAATTTCGAAAAATATTTCTGTTCAAATTATAACTTCGTCGATCAACTTCAATACAACATAAGAGCACAGTCTACAATGTTATGTATAATAAAAACAGATTCTTTTCTTTCTGTCATACTCTCGAAAAAAAATCAATATTTCGTTTTTAGAACAATAATCATCTTCAACTAAACTATTCGTAGTAATGCTTATAATAACACTTTTCTTACGATGTCTGCTCATTGAATTTCACTTTCAAAAAAATCCTTAACTTTTCTTATACGAATTCAAACATAAACTTGTTTCGTTTCGTCGAGTAACAAAGATTCGTATTAAAAAACAGCATCATATTTCATATTATCTTTTTATAAAAACTATCTCTAGAATATCAGAATTTGATTATTTTCAACAAATGCGTCAACCATGTTCGATTGAGAAATGCATGCGCAAATCACGTTGGCTGTGTGATTGTTGTCAACAACATCTTTGTTTACAACATTTAAATGAACATAATGCTATACTTATTTCTCAATTGAATCCTTTAACTGATAAAATTAATGCACTTGAGGATCGTCTCAATACGTTAAACATTCAAAAGACAATTGATAGTGGTCGTCAAAAACTTGAACAATGGCGTCAAGATTGTTATAAGAAGATTGATTGTTTATTTGAACAAAAATGTCGAGAAATTGATCAACTTGTTAATGAAAAAGTTGACCAACAACGAGAAGAACTCAATCGAATACATTCGAAAACAACTGAATTTATCAATGCACAAGAAACAAGTCGTCAAGATATTGATTTATTAAAATCAACTATTCGTCAGCTTGAAACAAATATGAACGAAATCGAACGAACACGTTTTACCATCACTACTCGTCCATTACTACTAGACGACACGTTCGTTTATATTACGAAAATGACTGAAACAGAACTTGATCTATCATATCTTTCGCCTCCATACACAACGATTCATCGTAGTGAAGGAAGTTGTCGATCATTAACTAGTAATGATCGACATTTTTTGATACATCAAGAACCTAATTTATGTTTATTTGATCGAGAAATGAACATGGTTAAATCAATGTCATGGCCGTACAATACAATCTGGGACATGTGTTGGTCATCAGCATTAGATCGATTCATTATACTTGGGAAAAAGAACATCTTTCTCATTAATGAAAATACCATGTCAATTGATAATCTGTACACAGTTTCAAAACGAGATTTGCTGTCGTGTACATGTTCTGATATAGTTCTTTTTGTATGCACAAATGAAGGTGCTTCATCCGTTCTTGAATTCATATTATTTCCATCAATTGAATTGATTAGAGAATGGAACTCTCCTCTTACATGTATGAAAGATGAAATTATCAATGATATTGTTTACAATAACGGACATCTTGCTTTGATAGTTAAAAATAAATCAGAGAAATCCCTTCGTATTGAATTGAGAAATGCAGAGACACTCGATCGTATCTGGAGACTTCAACTTGATATTAGATGTGCTCAGAAGATACCATTTCGTTGTTGTGCACTCTCTGGTAATGAATGGCTCATTGTCGACTATGAGACTGATCGTCTGTTACAGATTACAAAAGATGGGAAAATGAAAACAGAAATAAAATATAGTCCAACTCCCTGTCGTGCTCTTATGTTCGATACAAATGAGCTAGCTATATCAACTGTCGATGGAGTAAACCTGCATACAATTTAATTAAACCAATGACTACTTTCGTTCACTGTTTGCTTTATTCTTCCGATGAAGAACTCGAACTACAAATAATTCAATGTATAATCTTGAAATTTTCTTTAGCATTGATTAGACCATCGAGGTCAATCACTTTGAAATAGTTTTTTATTCTATTATATGAAAATAAAATATCAAAATCAGTTAACCCATGAAAATAGAGAAAGCTATATTTATCTGAATGTTTGAAATAGAACTAAGACATGGTGATATTAAGAAAATACAATATTTATGTTAGCGATACAACTAATAATAATAACAAAAGTTTATAGCTACAGAATGCTCCATATAAAACATAAAATATAGTCAGCAATAAGAAGAAAACTTTGCAAATGCGAATTGACATTATAATTACTTGATATACTGGAACCTCTCTATAATGAACACCTTGTAGACTTTTCAAACGTGGTTACTATAGAGAGATATTCACCATAGGAAGGGTAGATTTTTTCTAAAAGCAGAATTTTTTTTGACAAGAAACAGACTAGCTTTCTCGTTATCTAAAGAGTGTCAGGGAATAAAATAATTAGGTACTCCTACTGTTACTTCACTTTTCATCCTTTTCCTTCTCGAAAAATTAACTCTTGTTAAAATATAGTAATATTTTTCTGTCGTGGACGTCATTGGAACCTGTCGAAAGTATTCACAATAGTTAGATTCATTTTCAACAAAAAATTAATAGCTGAGATTTCAAAAAGTGTGCGCTATACGGAGGTATCTGCTATGAGAGATTTCGCGGTAGTTTCCTCGAAAACGGTATTTTTCCACTTGATAAACGTTACATCCTCTGCAGCTACGAAGGGAGGGTTAGTAGTAAACTTTTTGATGAAAAGATGCATCAAAATCATTTTAACGTAAGAAACAAGTCATCCTGGGATGCTCCTTCCAGATATGATATTAGTTTTGAGCGAGGTTGTGATTTTCTGATGATAAGTGACTAAAGATTGGTCAAACAGGTACAATATGGTTCGTCAGAGAACAATACAACAAAGTATGCGTCATGTGAAGCTTAATGTTTGAGCTGAGGATGCTACACATTATTGTAGCGTTCGAAAACAACTATAGCAGAGGGCCACTTTCAACTCGATACTCCTTACCATTCATGAATTCTTAATGAATCAGTGATAGATCAATCGTTCATATATTCATAAGTACTCATGGCCTTGGTCTGGCTGCAAACGAGTTAAACAGTATTCTTGAATAATCTTGTGTTAGTGTTCATCTAATATTTAAATACCATGCCCTTTCGTATGTCATGGTCTTTTATGTTCTCTGATTATATATATATACTGCTCCTAGAGAATATCTCTCAGTATAGTTTTGTTTGACAATTAAATAGTCAAATAAGATTGTATTGATTTATATTTATTTCCGTGTTCCAGATCATTAAAAATTAATATTATAGAACTTATTCATTCAATGAGATTTATTCATGCCTCAATTTTCTTCACTTGTGCAATAGGAAATAAAATATTTCTTTATAAAGAAAAATAATAAATTGAAAATTAAAATGTATAATTTGTATTTCTTATGTCATTTGATAATGATAAACATTTAGTACATATTGGAATTATACATCATTGATTATTTGATAAAGATGTTCTTATGTATCAATCGAATATTGAAGAGTGAAAAATAAAACTCAAATATATAGTTTTTGTTTATGTTAAAGAAAAAGGTCTTTAATCGAAATCTGAATGTGTTTCTCAAACGAAATCATTTCAAGATTACACAGATCCAATTCATGATCTTTGTCAAATATCAGTCACAAAATTTCATGTACTTTTAATCGCTTCAAGTGATCTTATAGTATTAGAATTATTTTTAAAAGTTTTCTTTTTTTTCTATAGTAATAAGTTTTGAATTTTCGTTATGAAATATTGTTATAGGAAAATGCTAATGTACATATTTATTTCCTAATGAAATTTATTCACTGTGAATATCATCAGTTTCTACAACAATGTATTGATAAGAAGTAAAATCATCACTGGTTTTTGTTTTGTAAAAGAGCTTTTTTTCTCTGGAAAGACCAATATCTTATCGGGATTTTATAAAACTTATTCCTATGGTAAAAAATTCATGAATACATAGATATTTTCCGAATTGTTAAATTTTATTTTAGGCACTGATGAATAATCAACCAAACGAATGAGTAGCTATAGCAGCAGTAATATTTATTGATGTGGTTCGTTTATTACTTGAGCAACAAATCAATCCATTTTCATATTAAAAAAAAAGTTTCTTTTTTTAAATATTTTATATCTTTTATTTCTTGGTAAGCAATTAATTAATATTTAATTCAAAGTCTTCATTGAAAAAAATGAAACAACACGTTACATGAAAATAGTCAGTCATTTTGCTGAATAGTATGCAGCCTAACATCATCCATAGTTGATACAACGAGTTTATTTCGGTCGAACAGAATAACACACCAAGGATTTGGATGATATGGAATTGTTTTCTTTAGTTTTCCATCTTTTGTAATCTGTAACAAATGTCCAGTCTCATAATCAGCAAAGAGCCATTCATTACAAACGAGCGAACAACAACGAAATGGTATTGTTCGAACGCATGCAGTATCAATTTGAAGTGTCCAAATGCGATCAAACGTCTTTACATATCTCAATTCAATTCGAAGTGATTTCTGGGATTTATTTTTAATTATTAAAGCAAGATTTCTATTATTGTAAGTCATATCATGAATAATTTCATTTTCGTTACATGTAACAGGATATTTCCATTCATGAATTAATTTGATTTCTGAGAATAATGTAAATTCCATTATAGATGAAGCCCATTCATTTGTACATACAAAGAGAACTGTATCAGAACATGCACATGATTTCCAGTTTCGTTCTGCAATTGTGTGTACATCATCAATTGACATTGTAGATTCATCAATGAGATAGATGTTCTGTTTTCCAAGTATAATGAATCGATCTAATGTTGATGAGTAACACATATCATGAATTGCACCGTAAAACCATAAAGTTTGTTTAGTTATGTTTATTTCTCGATCAAATAAACACAAATTTGGATGTTGATGTATCAATATATATCGATCATTGCAAGTTAGAGATCCAAAACTACCTTCAGGACAAATAATTGTTTTGTAAACAAGTGAAAGAGTTGATAGATCAAGCCCTTTTTCAATTGTTTTCGTAATAGAAATGAACGTATCATCTAATATTAATGGACAAGTATTTATTGTAAAATATGTTTGTTCGATGCTGTTCATATTTGTTTCGAGTTGACGAATAGCTGATTTCAATAAATCAATATCTTGACCAGTTGTTTCTTGTGCATAAATAAGTTCAGTTATTTTCGAATGTATTCGATTGAGTTCTTCTTGTTTTTGGTTAACTGTTTCATTAACAAGTTGATCAAGTTCTTGACATTTTTGTTCAAATAAACAATCAATCTTTCTGTAGCAATCTTGACGCCATTGTTCAAGTTTTTGACGACTATTTGCAATAGCTGTGTGTATATTTAATGTTTTAAGACGATGTCCAAGTGTATTAGCTTGGTCAGTTAAAGGATTTAGTTGAGCAAGAAGTGTAGCATTATGTTCATTTAAATGTTGTAAACAAAGTTTTTGTTGGCAACAGTCACAAAGCCCACGTGATGTACGAGTACATTTGTTTATCGAACATGATTGAAACATTTGATAAAAAATAATGAAATTCAGATGTCCTAGAAATAATTTCAGTAGGAACAGAACATAGAAGGTGATGCTATTTCTTAAGAGAAAAAATAGTTTTTCGGTGAAAAAAAAAGGAAAAAATGAATTTATTTTTTATTTACATAATGAAGGTAAAGATTTTTCTTCAAATTTCAAATTCAATTAAACAATGTCATATGAGGAATAATTTGACAAAAATAACTATGAATACTTCAACTAGAAGTAATTATTTATTCAAAAATATATTATTGATTGTTTTCCGAAAAATATAATAAAAAGAAAAAAGCTTACTTTTACTATGTGAAAATCATGTAATAAAAGTTTAGTTATATGCGAAATAAACTTTCAAATATCTATGCAAGGTAATCATTCGGTCGACTGATTCACATAAATAATATGATATTAAAAAAAATACATGCGTAAGTGTGATTACTCATCTCTGTTTTTCTATATTAAAGTAGAATAGGAAGAAAAAGGACTAACGCACATTGACTATATGCTGTTAGGTAATCTAATGTATTTATCCATATATTTATTTCCTTTTGTCTCATTTTTTCATACGTTTTAGTGTATATCTCACTGATTTTGATAAAAAGTATATCATGTATTAGATTACGATAATTCTTTTATCTTTCTTTGTAGTTTGAAATTCGATTGAATCTTCTACTAATACCAGTAGTATTGTATAACAATCAATCAATTGATTATCGTTATCATAATTATGCCGAAAAGTAATCTATTCTTCAAAATTTTATTTCCTAGTATCCAACAAAAAGCAACTTTCAAATATCGTCTGATTACTTATTGAGCAGATAAGAATACAGTGCTATCTTGTGTCTGTGATTATTCCAAAAAGTTGAAGAGCTAAATATAGTTGTATAATGTATTCGATAGAACGTCACTACCTCTATAACCATGATCGTATAGAATGCTCAGCGTTGTTATTAGTGCTAAAGTTTTGATTCACCCTAGTTAAGTAGTATTTTCGTCAATACTGTTAATTCACTTTCAAATTTAAAACATTAAATCAATTCGTTTTATCTGTGAAAAACATGAACTGAATCAAATATAAAAACTCCATTTAGTGGGATTTTTTAATCGTTAAATATTGATGTTTATTTTTTTTATATTATCTCTCGAATGACTGAATGGTTTGTACTCGAAGACATTTCATTAGATAAATTCTTGATAGAGTACAAAGTCATTTTTTTTTCAATGTGTAATAACAAAAAGTAAACAAGATATTCTAATTGAAAAATTGTCGAAAATTGAAATATCTACTCTTCTGATGAAACAGTATTTCACACTTTTTTTTCTATGGCGCAAATGATACTATGGTCTTTCTTTTTAACCGTACATATTTATCAACCAGATGCATCTTTTGATATTGAATTTTCATAGAAGCCATGCAATCTCTATCGAAATCGACAACATGGCTTAAGAATTTTGTACTTATAGTGTCCAACTACATCGAAAAGGTAATGAATGTGCCTTATGAATAGATGAACGATGGTGATGTATTATTGTTTCGTTAATAATTCATGGATACTAAAGACAATTGAGTTCGAGGTTGTTTTTACGCTTTTATAGTCTTTTTTGGAAGCTACAATCGTATTTAGTCTGTGTCAATGACTTATGTCATAATCTCGAGAAACATTGATAACGAATCTATTTCTTACGTTATCAATGTTGCTGACGTTCTTCTTTGTTGAAGAATTTGCTTGCAGTCCTTCTTCCACAACTATGAAAGCAGGATGCATATCAACATAGTATTTTTATCATTGATTTATCTGTCGTTTAGCCTCAATTGTCAATTTGCAAGTTCGAATTCTTTGTTCAGCTGGAAAAATCGCATTATAGAGAAATCCAATTTCGTGTGCTGAACACAAATCTGAAGTCACTTTTTCAATTATTGAAAGAAATTACATCGTTCCTACGGACAAGATCAGTAGTCACTAGTACGTGCAGACCATTCTGTTGTTAATACTAACTATGTCTCCAAGTTATTGACATCGGACAATTCAACATCAAAAGATGCATCTAAATGAAACCCGTATACGATGAACGAAGGTCTATAGTACGACTTGCACCGTAGAAGAAAATTTAAAAATATTGCTTCACCAGAGGAATATATTCAGGAGTTTTCGACAGTTTTTTAGTTAGAATATCTTGTCTAATATTTATGTTGGGCATTGCAATAGAATGACTTTATCTTCTATATTAACTTGTTTTCCTAATGAGTTATCATCTTGCAGTTCATATCATTCAGCCATTTGTGAGACAAACCCAAAATATGAAAATCATCCAAAAAACACCAGCATATTTCATTTTGTCTTGTTACACTAACTATCTCTAGAACATCAGAATTTTATTATTTGCATCAAATGTCACAAACATGTTCGATCGAGAAATGCATGCGAACATTACGCGGGTTCTGTGATTGTTGTCAGCAATATCTTTGTTTACAACATTTAAATGAACATAATGCTTCACTAGTTTCTCAACTCAATCCTTTAAATGATGAAATCAATGTACTTGGAGATCGTCTTAAAACACTAAATATTCACAAAGCCGTTGCGGATAGTCGTCAAAAACTTGATGAATGGCGTCAAGATTGTTATAAGAAGATTGATTGTTTATTTGAACAAAAATGTCAAGAACTTGATCAGCTTGTTGAAGAAAAAATTCGACAACAACGTGAAGAACTCAATCGAATATATTCGAAAATAACTGAACTTGTCAATGCACAAGAAACAACTCGTCAAGATATTGATTTATTGACATTAAATATTCGTCAGCTTGAAACAAATATGAACAACATTGAACAAACATGTTTTACGATTAATACGCGTCCATTACTATTAGATGATACGTTCATTTCTATTACGAAAACGATTGAAAAAGAGCTTGATCTATCAACTCTTTCGCCTCCATGCACCACGATTCATCGTATTCTGGGAAGTTTTCGATCATTAACTGGTAATGATCGACATTTTTTGACGCATCAAGAACCTAATTTATGTTTATTTGATCAAAAACTGAACATAGCCAAAGAAACTTTATGGTCTTATGGTGCAATTTGGGACATGTGTTGGTCATCAACATTAGATCGATTCATTGTACTTGGAAAAAAGAGCATCTTTCTCATTAATGAAAATACCATGTCAATTGATAATGTGCACACAGTTTCAAAACGAGACTTGCTGTCGTGTACATGTTCTGATATAGTTCTTTTTGTATGCACAAATGAAGATGCTTCATCTATTATGGAATTCATATTATTTCCATCAATTGAATTGATTAGAGAATGGAAATATCTTACATGTAGCAATGATGAGATTATCAATGATATTGTTTACAATAATGAAAATCTTGCTTTGATGGTGGAAAATCAGTCGGAGAAATCACTTCGCATTGAATTGAGATATGCAGAGACACTTGATCGTATATGGTCACTTCAACTGGATATTAGATGTGCTCAGAAGATACCATTTCGTTGTTGTGCACTCACTGGTAATGAATGGCTCATTGTCGACTATGAGACTGATCGTCTGTTACAGATTACAAAAGATGGGAAAATGAAAACAGAAATAAAATATAGTCCAACTCCCTGTCGTGCTCTTATGTTCGATACAAATAAGCTAGCTATATCAACTGTGAATAGCGTAAATCTGCATACAATTCAATCAAATCAATGACTACTTTCGTTCAGTATTTGTTTTACTCTTTTGATGAAGAACTCAAACTACAAATAATTCAATATATAATCTTGAAATTCTCTTTAGCATTGATTAGACCATCGAGGTCAATCATGTTGCAATACTTTTTTATTTTGTTATATGAAAATAAAATATGAAAATCAGTTAGTTCATGAAAATAGAAAAAGCTATATTTATTTGAATGTTTGAAATAGAAATAAGAAATCGTAATGTTAAGAAAATATAACAATTATGTCAGTCATAGAACTTTTAATGATAACAATCGTTTATAGCTGCAGAATTCTTCATATAAAACATGGCAGGGTAGTCCACAATAGGAAGAAAAATTTTTAACTGTAAATTGGTATGATACTCAGGCTTGTTTTTTTATATGAAGTGATGTACTTTCTAATTCTTGACGAATTCACGTAAAGGTACCTTCACACAAGCTTGATAGATTAAACGCTGTACAACTAATTGTTGGTATCCTTAACATGATCGAGATATGAAACGTTTTCAGAAACACTTTAGTATTGTTTGTCTACTTTTGGGAGAAAGTATATTATTATTCATGGACATATAATCATTATCTCAATTGGACTGAAAATAGAAAAAGTTTTGCTTCTTACAGTTGAATAAAGCACTATACTCTACATTTGATATTTTTGTCTAAATTGTGATATATTTCTAATGCTTCATACAATAAGTTCTATTTGTTACAACTTTTAATGAATGAAACTGTAAAGATTTACTTACATCTTTAGAAATAGGTAAAGTTGACGACACCAACTATAACCTATCCAATGAGATGTGCATCAAACTCAGCTGCAACCACTATATATATACCAGTTTGTAAAGAACTTTTATGGCACATATTTTGATATCAAAAATAAGGCGTACTAATAAAAATAGAGCACACTATCAACAAAATACGATCATGCTCATTTATGTTTCATTATATATTAATTGAAAAATACTTTAAAATAATAAAAATTATTTTAATTCAATGCAAATCTAAGCATTTTCATAAAAATAAAATATATTTACATATTAATTAGAATATTGATTGACATCAAATAAATAACACATGTCTGATTTGTTTAAATATAAAGTTATTATAATCAGATTTGATAACATTGTTCTTGACAAAACAGGAACATATTTATCACAATTTAAATAAATTCATCTATTAATAATAAAATTGTACAATTTAGAATTAGTCATTGCTATTCATCGATTCATAATTTATTTTTACAATATAATTTAAAACAAACATGATTTGTATGTTCATTAATTCAATAAATTATCAATATTTTTTGATAAATCGAATTATTGATAGTACATCATGTTATAACAATCATCATGACAATAGATACTAATTCATCATTTATGATCGATTTTTAAAAGAATCTTCAGAATTTTTAAACTCAAAAAAAAAAAAAATCCGATGTATTGCTTTTTGAAAATCGAAAAATTTCTTAAATTTTTATAGAACATAAATGTACTACTAGGTGACAATACTTAAGAACTTTCGAATAAATGAATGAAAATTGAAAGTATTCTCTATCGTCAATAAGAAAGTTAATTTATCCGATAGTAGAAAAATAAAGATAATCAAATTTATTTTTGTAAAGTGATTTTTAAGGATATCTTTTAACTAGAGATTTAATTGTCATTGACAAGATAAACAAAGTTAAAATGGAAATTTGCTTTTTTTATGGAAACATGAACAAACATCTAATTTTTAATCTCAATTTTATAAAAATAAAATATGTATTATTCTTCATGTTTAGTCTATTGCAATTTTTTAAATAAATTGTTTTATTTCATGGTCAAAAGAAAAATAAATTCTATTCAGTCTTGATATGCAAATAATGTATGTATATAAAATAAATCATCAAATGTATATTGAAGGTAATTGTTCATTGTACAGAATCAATTAAATAGCAGAAGATAGAAAAAAAAAGTAGAAGAGCAATTGTAATTACACATATCATGTTTTCTATAGCACAAGACAACAGGAAAAAAAATGAAAAACCAACATTTACTAAATGTTATTGAGTGATACGATGCATTCATCCATGCAATTATTTTTTTTTTTTTCATTTTGTTATACATTGTAGTGTACATGAAAGTGATTCTAATTGTAAGAAGTATTTTTATTTAAATACTATCATTATTTTATTTTATTTTTAGTTTAAAACTCAATTAAATCTTCTATCAATATCAATAGTATTAGATTAATCTCTTCTTCATAATTTACGTTCTTGATATATTTTACAATAACATCACTAATTGATAAAGAAAAAACATTTTTGTCATATCAAAGTTATACCTGTCGACAACATTGTAATTTCGACGATAACATTTGACGAAGTTAGAATTTCAAGAAAAAAAAATTGTCGAACGTTTTTCAATTCAATTCAAGATCAAATAAACACATCGATTAATCGATAATATTAAAAACAAAAGATATGTATGCAGATAATCTTTCATATGAGTATTTTTATAAGTTCTCAACCACGCATATAAAATTTATCACCTATTTCGATGAAATTTTCAAATTTTGTAACTAATAATCAGAGATCTCCAGAATACTATGCTCTAATTTAAAGAACAAACACTAACTGTATATTAATAAGAAAAATAGTACATACAACAAAAAGTTGAATCTTTATCATAGTTAGACTCACATTGAATAAAAGAGAGACTGTATCCGAAATGGTTATTTGATTATAAAATTCTTTATACGAATGAAAGGATAAACTCCGTTTTCATTCCTTCAGGAAAAAAAACAAATATGTTTCTAAGAAATAATATGATATTTCATGTTGTCCTTCTATTGCATTTATTTTCAGAACATCAGAATTTTATTTCTTTCATCAAATGTCTCAATCATGTTCGGTAAAGAAATGCACCCGAACATCACGTTGGGTGTGTGATTGTTGTCAACAAAACTTTTGTTTGCAACATTTAAATGAACATAATGCTTTTCTCACTTCTCAACTGAATTCTTTGAACGACAACATTAAAGTACTTAGAGATCGTCTTAAAACACTAAATATTCATACAGCAATTGCGAATAGTCGTCGAAAACTTGAAGAATGGCGTCAAGATTGTTATAAGAAGATTGATTATTTATTTGAACAAAAATGTCAAGAACTTGATCAGCTTGTTGAAGAAAAAATTCGACAACAACGTGAAGAACTCAATCGAATATATTCGAAAATAACTGAACTTATCAATGCACAAGAAACAACGCGTCAAGATATTGATTTATTTACATTAAACATTCGTCAGCTAGAAACAAATATGAACAACATTGAACAAACATGTTTTACGATCAATACTCATCCATTGGTCATAGACGACAAATTCACTTTGATTAAAACAACAACTGAACGTGAACTTGATCTGTTAACTCTTTCACCTGTCTATAGAACCATGCGTTATCCAAAAGAAAGTTTTGTATCACTAATTAGTAATGATCGATACTTGATGATGCATCAACAGCCAAATTTATGTTTAGTTGATCGAGAAATGAACATAGTTAAACAAAAATTATGGTCATACGGTCCAATTTGGGACATGTGTTGGTCATCAACATTAGATAAATTCATTGTACTTGAAAAAAATAATATCTATCTCGTTGATGAAAATAAAATGTCAGTTGATCATGTGTACAGAATTGTAGAACGAAACTGGGAATCGTGCACCTGTTCTGATACATCTCTCTTTGTATGCACAAATGAACGAGCTTCATCCATTATGAAATTCACATTACTTCCATCGATCAAATTTATTGGAATATGGAACTCTCCTCTTACATGTACGAAAAATGAAATTATTGATGATATTAATCATAATAATGAAAATCTTGCTCTAATAGGCGTGTTCCACTCGAAAGTTGGTCCAGGCTAACTTTTTCCGGTGTTAACCAAATGTAACGCTATTTGGTACTTAAGGGTTTCTCGACATGCTCTTTCTTTTGTCTAGCGGACACTTTTGTTCGAAATCCTCGGAAGTAGGTTTTCTAGAAAACCATGGTTTTGCAACCAATGATTTCGAAAGATTTTTTGTTTTAACAGCTTATAATGATAGAGCAACCAATTCTCTACAAAATGAGATGTCTCCGAGCTCTCTCCGATGTTTTTTGGCCGAGTTACACCAATTTTAATGAAGAGCAAAAGCCATTTTTTCCGCTATTTCCTCTGGGATAAAACGTAAAAATGGCTTTTGCTCTTCATTAAAATTGGTGTAACTCGGCCAAAAAACATCGGAGAGAGCTCGGAGACATCTCATTTTGTAGAGAATTGGTTGCTCTATCATTATAAGCTGTTAAAACAAAAAATCTTTCGAAATCATTGGTTGCAAAACCATGGTTTTCTAGAAAACCTACTTCCGAGGATTTCGGACAAAAGTGTCCGCTAGACAAAAGAAAGAGCATGTCGAGAAACCCTTAAGTACCAAGGGACAGCTCGATATGTTCAGCCGTTCTTAAGATGGTTTTCTGGTGGAACACGCCTATTGTTAAAAATGTAGTTAAGAAATTTCTGCGTATTGAATTGATAAATGCAAAGACGTTTAATCGCATTTGGACACGTCAACTTGATATTGAGTGCGTTCAAGATATACCATTTCGCTGTTGTTTACTTCCTTGTAATGAATGGCTTATTGTCGATTACGAGATTGGACGTCTGGTTCAGATTACCAAAGATGGAAAAATAAAAAAAATGATTAAATATCATCCAGTTCCTTACAGTGCTATTCTGTTCGACCGAAATAAACTAGTAGTATCAACTACATGTGATGCAAATATGCATACAATCGTTTAAAATGAATTATTATCGTCGTTTAATGTTTTGCTTTACGTTTTCGACAAAGAACTCGAATTACAAATAATTCATCTTATATTCCTGAAATATAATGCAAAATTGATTGGATAATCAAAATTAGTTAGATTTCAATAGTTTTTGACTCTCTTCTATGTAAATAAAGTGTAAAAATTATTTGATTAATAATAATAATAATAATTTGCTCTTTATCTGAATAGTATAAGATTATCAAGAACAATTATATTTACTATAGAAATAATCAATGATGTGTATCAAATGATTGCCTGTTAACTTGAAATCTTTTATAGCTTGGGAAAGTTACTCGACTTAGACATACCGTTTCCACTACTATGATGCGTACATGTGAGGAACTTGATGCTAAGAAAAAATCTAAGAGAATTCGGACTAATATGGTCTCTTTCAATAGATATGAATATATTCATTCTTCCATAAAGAGAAAAATCATATCAATTCATAAAAGAATCTCCCTAAGTTCGTACAAGATTTAACTCTATACGATGCGTAGAAGTAGATATGATTGAGACTAAGAAAATCTTATAGATACATCTACCTTTGACTTTCTCAACAATTACTGCAGTCCCTTCATTGAGTTTTGATCTTATCTTTTGCTATCAGATAGTACATATTATAGCAACTTCTCGTATTTATGAACTACATATCTATGGATTTATGAGCCATCAAAGTATATTTTCAAAAAAAGTTAACATATTCTGCATTGAATTTAATATTTATTTAAAATGAGTGAATCATCAGATTTTGAAAACTTCAAAAATATTGCATTCATCTAAGTTATTATCCAAAACAATTTCCTTATTGACGAGTATTGCATCTTGTCTTAAACATCTTCATCACCAAGGGTCAAAATTGCTTTTGAATGCACTAATCAGGTAGGATTTTCACCTGGCTCACGCCATTTTCTATGATATTTTATTCATATGCTGAAGACACTATTCTAAGAAAAATCCTAAGAGGCTTAGACTGATTAGGTTTACTTCGAAGTGTGTGATCATTGAACTATTGTAAAAGTTTCCATGAAAAAAAAGATGTTTCATTTTGAAGGTATCAATTTTTAAAAACTTCTCTCATAATCTATCAAGTCTTGACAAATTGACTTTTTTTTTAAGTTGTTCATCTCGATAATGAAAACTTTTTCCACTGAAATTTTTAGAATGTTTTAAAGACCGCGAGAACTACATATGAACGGCATTTCAGACTGAACCTGCCTTGTTCATGTTTTCTGTGTGCACCTTATGCTAGATAGAAAAATCAATACGATGATCATAGTCTTCGAAGTAAGCTTCATAAACTCAAACGCTTTTAAGATTTTTCTTAGAATAATGTTCCCAACATATGGGCAAAGTATCATTGAAAATGGCTCGGATTAGTCGGGTACGTTCCCTTGTATAAGATTTTTGTGTAAAATCAATTTTTTCTTAGTGAAAGTTTCCTTTTGATGAACTATGAGCTCTTTTTTTCTGACTTCTACCAACTGAAATAAACTTTGCGACGTGAATTTTTTTCTCTGTTCCTATTATTACATGCTACAGTACGCATACGAGAAGACAACGCCTCTGTCGAATACTTTTAAATATTTTCTTCAATGCTCATACTAGAGAGTTTTTGCTAGTGCCATCGAAATTGATTCCATTGACTTGTTGGATTTCCTATAAAGATTAACAGTTGATTATATTTTATGATTCTTATGTTATTAGTGTAAAAAAATAGACAGGTCTACAAAATGTCATCCTGTTCGGACTTCTGATACGTGTATAATATTATATTCAATAAGAATATTTTCGAAAAGTGAAATTATTAGAAGTTTCGTAATTTTAGTTAAGAGACAAATTATTGAAAATTAGAACATTCTGGCTTAACATTTTTAGTTCCGAATGCTATTGAAGATATTTCAATGTTATTACGTAGTGGAAAAATATTTCTTTGTGTTTTATAATTAACAAATATGTTGAATAATATTCGATAAGAAATATTCAATTTCTAGCCCACTTTCTCTATAAAAATTGCACTAAGTGAATGAATGATTTAAATATATGTGTTTGGCAAAGCTGAAATAATCAAAAAAGGCGAGGATAAAGAACTGCTATATTAAGCTATATTTAACTTCAATTGAAGTCCACTAAGAAGTTGTAGAGTTCGCGAGTGTTCTCAGTTGAAATTAAGTTTGTCTTAGCGTATTTTTTAATAAAAACAAGTTACTTTGTCGTTTTGCACCTAATTAAAATACAAATTCTGTCTACATGTTACGAAACAAATTCAGATTCAATCATGACTGTGCAAAACTTCATTTATTAATGTGGCAGCGTCTCGAAAATAGCAGAATAGACTGGAACTATTTACATCCAGCTTTGTAGAAAAGACAGAAAACAGCAATGTCGATCACTTTACTATTCTTTTTTTCTTCTGAGCTTCTCACTCAACACATTTAGTATGCCTAGCCTTTAAATCATGATATTCGATCCAATATCAAATAAAATTTAGAGAGAGTAAAGTTATCCTTGCAAATGGTGCTTGCTAAGCTGTTTCTCTATAGACAAAAAGCATACTAAGTTACTAGTTCTTTCGTTCTCGTTGAAAAAAGTAGACCCTTATACAGATTTCGCACGAGGAAAAATAGCAGTCTCAAATTGGTTTCTTTTTTCGGTACGAAGAGACCTAATTGTATGAAACGACTGAATGCGAACAAAGTTTTATCAAATAAGAGAAAACAGAATCTCAGATTTAATACTGCAAAATTTACAGAGCAAATTCACATTGACAATAGTATTGTTTCTTTTTTCTGTGCAAGAAGTCAATCCTCAAGCAAATAAAAAAAAGCCCGATGATGCACGGGAGAAATAGGCTTTTTAAATCAAACACATTTTGAAGAAAGTGAAGAAATAACGAAAAATAGACATGTTCGCAAAATATCCTCTTTGGACGTTGTTTATCGTATCAACTGTTGATTGTTATTGGAAGCCGATTCCTCTTACCAACTGGACTTGGCAATTGTCCGGTACAATTGATACTACCAAAAATGTCGTCATGTACGACATCGATCTCTGGGATACGTCAAAAGCTACAATCAACCAATTGAAATCAGCAGGCAGAAAAGTTATATGTTATTTTAGGTAAAAACTCATGTCTTATTGATCATCTCTTGTTCTACTGAACATGAAAATTACAAGTCTCAAAGTTTTCAAAAGAGGGGCGATAGAACATGTTTAGCGTAGAACACTTCTATTTTCCGCTGATAATATCGGTTATCGATCTTCCGGTAGCCCTACGTTCATGTTTAGGAGGATTGTAATCATCTGAACTATGTATGAATTTCAATCCAACCATATCGAGTACGTAGTTTTTCTTTTGTAAAAACCTAATGCTGCTGATGCTTGAATAAATGCTCCTGGAAGACTTCGAATAGAGTATATCGTTCTCGTCTTTCTGAGTTTGAATACTTGTACTCGATCATCTATCTTGATGAGTGAGACGATCAGATTAATGTGAAGATTTTTATTGATTTTCGAATGATCGCTTACAAATAAATAACAGGCGATGATTACAACTTTCTTGGAGATTTTAGTGCCGGAAGTTACGAAGACTGGCGTCCAGACAAGGCTCGTTTTCCTGCCTCTGTCAAAGGCAATAAGTTGGACGATTGGTAGGAACGAAGATCTTTTCTTTTTGATATACTCATACAAGAAAATAGGAGTGGTGAATGGTGGTTGGATATTCGTCGACTAGATATTCTCGGACCAATCATGCGCGACCGTCTGGATCTAGCCAAGAACAAAAGTTGTGATGGAGTCGAGCCAGATAATATCGATGTTTATACTCAAATGAATGGTGGAGGCTTCCGAATAACTTATCAAGATCAACTGACATACAATATTTGGCTGGCTCAAGAAGCTCATGCTCGAGATCTTTCTATTGGTTTGAAGAACGATGTCGATCAAGTCAGAGATCTCGTATCTTATTTTGACTGGGCAATCAACGAACAATGTTGGGAGTATAATGAATGTAATACACTTCAACCATTCATTACAGGTAACTTTTTATCAATGGAAATACGTTGAATTCAACCACGCTTTCCTTTATAGCAAACAAGGCAGTGTTCAATTGTGAATATAAGGCTCACAACAATTGTCTGAAAGCAGTACAAAGCAAATTAAGTTCGATTCTAGCACCACTTGAGCTCAATGGAAAAAATATGAAAATGTGCAATGGACAAGGGCAGCTAGTATCGTTTTGAATTGAACTATGGATATTGAAAAGCTTTCCACAGAATAATAAATGACAAATATTGAAAGACCTATATATTTCATTTGCGTATCGATCGAAAACGCTATATGATCATTGATTTTATTGGAAAGATGTGTCGATGATTAGCAGTTCGATGAACTCATATCGATGAGAATCTGTAAAGAAATTTCATCTTCAATGTTCAGAACCTGCCGGCAAGTAAACTCGTTCGTTGACTATCCAATGAAGTGCAGTGATTTTCTTCGGTTTCTAGTTAACTAACTCAAAAGCATAACTGCTCTCTATCTGATCTGAATGACGTGTTTTTTTTTCTTATTTAAATTAATTCTTTTGAATTCAATAATTTCTTATTTGAAATGATATTAGTGCGAAGATCCTTGTACATTTTAACAAACGAAACTTAACTGAAGAGTTATCATTATTAGTCGAGTAGAAGAAGTAATGATGAGTCTTTAGGCTGAGAATTAATTTAGTTCCTAGAATAAGATCAATGATTAAAACTCGGATGCATAGGTATATGATTCGAACATTTTTCTTCATCAGTCTGTCTTTTTCCATTTGACTTCTTCGACAAAGCTTCATCATGAACAACAAGATGAATGATAGAGTTAAAATAATATAAATCAAATATATGTCATTAATAGAATGATAATATACTAGGAGATAGTGCATGAAGATTAAAATTCCCATTAAGATTGACAGAATTCGATTCCTTTCACCACTCGTTTTAAACTATCAGCACGTTTCATTTCAAGTAAGATGGGGTGTGGGTGTGGGGTGTGGGCGTGGGTGTGGGGTGTGGGCGTGGGTGTGGGTGGGTGTGGATGTGGGTGTGGGTGTAGGTGAGGGTGTAGGTGAGGATGTAGGTGAGGGTGTGGGTGTGGGTGTGTGTGGGTGTGGGTGTGTGTGGGTGTGGGTGTGTGGGGTGTTGATATGGGTAAAGAGGTGATCCAAACCCATGTCCACACCCACACCCACACCCACCTCACACCACCCACACCCACCCACACCCACACCCACACCCACGCCCACACCCTCACCCACACCCCACACCCACACCCAGTTTGACCATGATGCTTAAAGAAAAACAATAAGGAAAATCGAGGGCGCAGTTTAGTATAGCTCCCACCTATTATAGATTTTCCTCATGTCTGGATAAGCCTAAAATATCAAACTGCGAACAAATATTTTCATTAACATGAGGTATGCGCATATATGCAATAGGCATGTGTCGCCTCTATTATTGTGAGATGTTTTCGGTGTTGATTTCTATAGTGGGGGGAGGGCTATACTAAACTGCGCCCACAAATCCAATGAAAGATTGTGAGTGATAGTGAATCGATTGGAAATACTTTTTTATTTTAACTGCAATCTACAGTAGGATATCATTTCGAGTCGTAAAACATTTTGTCGTCGTCATTTTGTTTTCGAAAAATTAATCACTCGCTGTTATCGGATGTTAATCGAATAAGAATATTTGGTATTGGATCACCTGGACAGTCCTTGAATGGACACGATCCATCGCCTTTCTTTTTCCAGATCCACATTCTCGGATCGATAACACTCAATTCCTTCCCGCCCAATTTTTTCGTATAGATATGACGTGTTGCTGGACTTGATACTTGCACCAGTACATATTGAAATCCTTGTATGCGTGCTTGATTACATACCATTGTACGTAATCTACTACCTACACCTTTGCCCGTATGCTGAGCTCGAGTAGCGCCCAACCAGATATATGCGACCAGGTGCGGTTTTAATTCTTGATTGAAATCATTATGAATGAATTGATTATTCAGTTCATTGGCAAAATCACGAATCGGATATGGTGCTGGAGGAGAATCGGGTGAATAATTCTTATGCTTCTCATAGAAATCATCAGCTAGAATAGCACCAACAATTTCACCTGATGGACGATGTCGTGCAAGAAACGACAAACGTTGGTCGAGTAGATTTTTTACTGCTGACCACAAACCATCGAATAATGATTGTGCTGGAATTTTGCAAAAACTCGTCAACCGTTCATGTTGAGAAAATTCTTCGGCTAGTAATTGAACACATATACGAGCATCATCCATATTATCGATGATTTCATAAGCATACTCTTCAATGTCGGCCATAGTGTCCTTGTATGTGTGAATGTATATGAGTGAAAATGTCGGAATGATAAGAAACAAAACAAACACACGGATTTTTATCTGTGATGGCGATATTTTTTCTTTCTTGTTCTTATATTTTCGTATTTTGTTTTCTATCAGCGAAAAACACTCGAAGGACAAACGTGTAATTTTGGGGTAGTTGTGTGAAAATAATTTTAAAGGCTTACAAACGTGTCTCTGCTGCGTTTCAAATGCTTGAAGAGAAACGCGTTTGGTTGCAGCTAAGTGCATTTATACGATGTGATTGAGTGCATTTGTAAGACACCATGCGACAGCCCGAGGGTGTGGGTGTAGGTATGAGGATATAAATGAAGTGCCCCACCTCCACATCCGCAATAGACATACGTATCTGCTTCCAAGACGTCGAAATTACTTGTTTGTCTACTTTCTGCTGCCACTACTCTATTGAGTGTCATGATATTAACGTTACTTGTCACATGAGAGATTTTAACTCATATTTGAAGCAATAAATTGTCTATATCTATATTTAGTAATATATCAATATCCTATTTGATCATTTGAACCGTAATGTATGAAATCAGTTTTAGCATTATTATGTAATTCATTAACTGATCATAGATGATAATGTGACACCAGGTCTGATGTTATTCCGTGTTTTTGCTCATACCGCGCACAAAGTTGCAGCTGATGAGACATTTATTTTAAAGAACTGAAAATACTGTCTCACACTTGGTATATCGGCATTTTTTCATTGTTTGATCATAAAATTACTAGAAAACAACTGCTATGAATTCGAGACAGAACTGAAAGAGCATGATTATTATAATGATGTTTCTGTCGGTTCATAACTGAGCAGAACAACGTTAAATTTGATGAACACATGATAATGTCATGTGGAAGAATTTGTTCACTCCAGTGAAAAAAATGATGAGCCGAGATGCGTGAAACATCACTGCCTCGATTTCTACGATGAACGTAGGCGATGTGCCGTGTTCTATTCAACCATATTTTTACTGGGTAGATAGATAAAAAGAAGATTTCAGATGGTGCATCTGTCATATTTCATTCTACATTATGGTCTATTAGTTTTCTTTATCTTTAGATAACCATTTCAAATCGTTAAATGTAGGTATGAAATAATTCACTGCTTCGCACAAGGATTTTTTCATCGATTGAAAACTTTGAAAAATTCTTTATAAATAATCTAACATTGTTCAGACTTGAAAGAATCATGATTTTATTGTTATAGATTAGTCAACAGCTGACGATTTATGTTGGCTTTACTATTCTTGTTACATGCTTAATAGGAAATGGTATGAATATTTTGATATTTTCGAGTGTGCGTACACTCTAAAGAATTTCCGTATCCTAGAAAACCGAAAGAGGTTCGGAAACCCACTCGGAAACCCTTATCCGTTTCCGAGAGGGTTTCAGAACAGTGAAAGCGTTTCTAAAAATACCCTTTCGGTTTCCGAACGTTCGGAAACCTAGAGGTTTCCTACACTCCCCAATTGGACACTCTAAAAGTATTCTAGAATACCTTTTTCTTGCTGTCGGAAACCCAAATGTTGTCTCGGACACTGGAAAGGCATTGTCGAAAACCCATATTAGAAGAAAAACTGAGTTAGTATCCGAAAGGGTATGCGAAAGTACCTTTTCATTTCCTGAACGGTTTTCGAAAAAACCCAATTTCAAAAGGGTATCATAAGAATCCAAAATGGGTATACGAAAATACCTAAATTGAAAATGGTGCCACAGTCAACTAAAATAGGAGTCCGAACTTTCATTGAACATTTTAAAGGGTTCCCGATGATTTAAACATTTCGTACTCTCGAAAAAAAAGGCGTCATACTGAACCATTTGGGCTCAAAAATGCTTCTACCGAAGATACTGAACCTTTCAAGGTTTTATTCGTTTATTAATATACCATCGAGGGTTCTAGCGACTTTAAAGAACCATATCAGATCATGCATAGTTCCGGGTGTTTGAAAGGGTTCTGTCTTGCACCATTTTTTTACGCTGAATCATTTTTCCAAAATGGTTCCGGCTAAAACCAAGATGCGATATTTTCTGAACATGATTTAACTAATGTAAATCTGAAATAGGTTATCGAGGTCTAGGAATCCGAATCCGTCATCATTTTTTCGATCCGAGCTACCATTGGTCAGAAATTGGGTCCATCAAAAATTCGACGGCTGCAAAGTTAGACTTTTTTATTTCAACTCCAATCTGAATTCTGATCAAAGTTTGAAATAGGTTATTGAGGTCCAGAAATCCGAATCCGCCATCATCGATTTCGACTCTGGGGATCCGAGTCGGATTACTCAACCCGGGCATTTGATGTATTCCTATCGGACCCTTATAAGATGCGAGGGGATTCGATCAGAATGCTGTGAGATCTGGCCGGCTCCGATCATATCCCATTGTCGGATTTATGAACCTGTGCAGGTGTGTCTCGTTAAGCAATTCAATAATAAGTGGTAACTTATAAAATGTGATTATTCTGTTACCTATTTTGATATGTCACAATTATTGATAGAAAGGTAATTGCAATCTGATTAAATGACTTCAATATTTTCTTTATTTAGGTATGTAGCAATAATCAATTAAAATGCAAGTTCAATATGATTAACCCTTTGGGGACCAAGGACGTATATATACGTCCTCACAACTGAAACAGAAGACCCAACTGCTTTGGATATTTCGAAATGGAATCATTGTATATTTTATTTCCTTTTCCACCAGAGAGTTCATTGTCATACTCTATAGAAAGAAGAGCTAGCCTCACAAGTATATAGTTCATAATTTCTAAGTTATACCTAATTTCCACGATACTATTTACCTCTTCTCGAAAAAAAAGTCGGTCCCC